ACTTTTTTAAAGTCTCACGATATAGTTAAGAATAAAATTTCAACAATTAACTTTGCCCGAGTGGTTAGTACTCACTAGTCCACTTCGGGTCCCCCCGCCGGGTAGACCCGTCGGGTCTCGGGTCCGAAAAATCGGGACCCGAAACCGACCCGTACTTGGTCGGGTCCGGGTCCATGGTCAACGGGCCGGGGCCGGGGCGGGGCGGGGCAGTCAACGGGTCGGGCCGGGTCCGGGTCAAACCCGGGCTGTGGCCGTGTCTACTCCGACGGCGTTGAGTTTTTTTTTCTTTTTTTTTTTCTTTAACATATTTTTTTTTTCTTTAACATATTTTTTTTTTCTTTAACATATTTTGCCATGTTTAAACAACAATATTGTTGTGGTTGACAGTAATATTAACTGTATTACTGTTAAACACAGTAATATTAACTATAGTACCATTTAACACAATAATATTTAGGAGTGGTAAACGAGCCGAGCGGAAAAAACAAACAGAAAAAAATAAATCGAAAAGTCAATGCCGGAAACCGGCAGCAAAAAGTAATTTCAGAAAAAAAAAAAAAAAGTCAAAATTGATAATTTGTGGTCAAATTGATTAAATTGGGGTTACAATTAATAATTGGGTGTAAATGATTTGGGGTAATTTTATCATATACATTTATTTTTCTTTTGTTTATAATACATATTAAATGGATGAGTTTATCGATAAAAGAGATATAACCCATAAACCTAGAATAATAAAGATAGTTAGTGAGAGACTTATCCACAAAACCCCTAAGTTGATATGCTAGAATGTGCTTGTAAGTATGAAAAAGTAAGGCCGCTGCTGCTTGGATACTTGTTTCATTAAGTTTTAGATCAATTTAAAAAAAAGACTAAAAAAAAAGATCAATTAAAAAAAAACTAAAAAAACACCACGAAATGACTAATATACCTATCACCTATTTTTCTCTTTTTTTTTCAAGATCAAAAAACAATGTATAAGTTTCCCCAAAAAAAGGAAAAAAAAAAAAAAGCGGAACAAGAGCAGAATATGGAAAACAATTCTCCTTCGCCTCCGCCACATGAATCCGCCACTGCCATCCAATCCTTCACAGTAAGGTCCAGTTTGGTTGGGGAGATTATCCATGATTAACTAAATAGTTGGACTTTATTGGAACTCGACCTACAAATGTCAATTTTAGGTATATTTGCTCGACATTTGCAAATCGTCTAATGAAAAGGAAAAGGAAAGAAACTGAAAAAACTTAAAAAAAAAAAAAAGGAAAAGAAAAGAATTAGTTGTATTCATAATTAATATTTAATTTTATTTTATATTGAAAAAGAAAAATAGTTAGACTGGTTCTAACCAGCGATTAGCGGTTACATAAATGGGGAACCTGGAACCGAACCGATTTTCCCGGTTACGATTTGGTTAAAAAAATCCTTAAAAATGAGTTGTCGCATAAAAAACAAAAACAAATGGGTCAAAAAGACAAAGCGGTGAGGGAGGGAGGGCTAATTAATCAATAAAAAAATGATACACTTGTCGCAAACCATAGGCTGCCACGTGTAACGCAATGAGCGTGGTCAAGTGGACAGAAAGATCGGGCACACTAGTGTTGCCAAATCAGATACATCCACTATACATATATAATACTGGTGGCATTTCAGTAATATTATCTCATCTATCTTTAAACCCCCCCTTCTCTCTCCTCTCTCTCTCTCTCTCTCTCTACGTATAACCAACTTGTCAGTTAGCAGCAAATACGAAATATGATTCAACTTTGTCAAAACGTAAGGGGTTGCGGTGGGTTCCGGCGCGTGGGGTGGAGACGAGTTTTTTTTTGTCTAGGGTTTTATTTTATATATGTGTTGAAGTTTCCTTGTTCGGTAGTAATCGAAAAGAAAGATGCTTCTGAAAGCTTAGTCTCAGTTTTCTGTAAGCAAGCTTAGAACATGCTTCAAAGATCCATTTTTTATTTTAATTCCTTTTTTTTTTTCTTTTTAATTTTTAATTCTTGTATTATATAATATTGACATGAAAGTCATGTTTTTCTACTTTGTGTTTGCATTTCTTAGCAGATTTACTTTTGTGCGTGTGTGAGAAATTTGGAAGTAGCTATGTATTATAGGAGTGGAAGTGTTAAATATTAATTAAAGATGAATAATAATAATTAGTAGATGGAATTTCATAAATAAATTAAAGAGATAATCTCAATATATTATCTGTTGTCCCAAGACCCACCCCCACCCCACCCCACCCCACCGCCTGCTAAATGGATATACATGGAGTAAAACATAATATATACATGTATATGTATGTATGTATAGAAAGTGAATATTGCTCCTGCAGGTACGTCTCTCTCTCTCTCTCTCTCTCTCACACACACACACACACATAGATAGTAGCGTGTTTGTCAGTGTATAGAATTGGTTGTTGATCAATGAATTAAGAAATCTGATTTTAAAAACTGAAATGCTAAATCTCTCACTATTTTTACCAAATTATGCACATAACTAAAAATATTTCTTTTTCTAAAATATTCTCTTCTCCTTCCCCATTCATCTTCTTTTTTTACTAAATCACACACTAAAAACATTCTTAGCATTTCAAGTTCGAATTTGACAAAAATCTTCACGTGTTCAAACTAAAATAAAATTGGAATTTGAGGAAAAAAATAATCGAATTCATATGAATTTGAATAATTAAAAACGCTTAATGAAATTGAATAAATATTAAATAAAACGGAACTCATTTTTTATGATTATTTACTTAAAAAAATTAATGAATTTTGAGTGGATTGGATAAAATCATTTTAGAGAGAAGTTAGAGAAAATTTGAGTAGAGAGGAATGTTTTTTTAATTTATGTGTGGGATTTAGTAAATTTTAGTGTAGGATTTAGCACGCCCCTTTTAAAAATGTAGTGATGATGAGTGATGATGACGTGGTAAAATAACTATTAATGGTTAATGGTGAAAGGAGAAATTATGAAGCTTCCTTTCACTAATATATACTCCATCTGTTCCATAATATCTGTCTCTTTTGAGAATTTTTTTTGTTCCATATTATCTGTCACTTTACAATTCCAATGCTGCATTAATTGCTTAGTTTTCAATTTTACCCTTATTAACTCTATAGCACTCTTCCTGCATTAATTAATAAACAAGGATATTTTGGTCCATCAATATCTATTTTCCTAAAAAATCAAGACATATTTATTGAGATTCTTAAGATTTGTGCCAAGGTGAAAAACGACACCTATTTAGGAACGGAGGGAGTATAATTTTGGAGACCAGATTTAATTGATTTCCGATGGTTATGTACATAATTCGAGATAGATAAGGTGGACATGCATTTTGTGTTCATGTCCTTTTGTTGAAACTTTAGGCTATATTACAAATGCTAGTAGCCTTTTAAAAATCCATTTTAATTAATGTCATTTTTAGAATTATCTTAGAAAAATATCTCGGAAAAAATGTCGTACCAACCAAATTATGTGTAAAATGTTGGAAGTAGTAGTTTTTCAGATTGGAAGTTGCGGAAAAGAAGTCGAGAATGTTTTCTCAAACCTTTATGCTATATTGTTCGGACGGGAAAATGGAAAGCATTCATTTCCACTAGCGTGTGAAAGAAGGGAAAATACGAGGAAACGCGTCACCATTGATCTTGAGTTTTCGATATTGGAAAGAAAGATATAAAAAGGTAAGAAGATTGGTTGAGTATATAAGTGTAATTCTTCATTTGACATTTTCGAAATCCACTTGAGAAATTTTGAGCTTCCGACTTTGAAGGGAGGATCTATACTGACGAGAGGACTCGTTGCCTTTTAGCAATAGGACCTCAATATCAAATTCCACCAAACTTTTATATTCACTACTATTCAGTAATATTTTTCTTCTCTTTCACCCTCTGTAGTATCTTTGAACCTCTTTCTAGTCTAAATTTTCAAAATGCCGTGTTTCGTTGTAGAGTCGCATGTATACAATGCGGTTTGCTTCGTTTGCAATGTATACGTACAAATAGATTTACAAAACATAAAGTATAAGAACATCGTCCTTAATTTACAATGAGTTATTGCTTCAAAAAATGATGCTAATTGTGATATTTACACCTACATTATTGTTATATAAAAAAATACAACTTAGTTGGTTTAAGATGAAAGTTATGGCGTAAATAATTGCTTCTAAGAGTGTTGATTTCGACGATAAAAGCATGTTAATTTCAACCATGGTATTGTATAAGTCTAGCGAGTGCAACTCAAAATAGACTTAAGTTTGGGGAAGGTTTTTTTTTTCCACGACCAATAAAAACCATAAATATCTTCAAGACTTATGGAGCAACTTCAGAGTTTTATCACCTCGTATTAATTTTTTTGTGGAGTTATGTGGGTTTCTCGCCCTTCGTAACATAGATCGTGTTGAGGTGCTATACATTAGAAAGTTAAAATAAACGCCAATAGTTATTTCATCGCAACCCACCAACTCAAGCTCTAGCTAGATTCAAATTGAACAACAATTGTCAAATATAGTCGAGAACAACTTGAACTTAGATACACTCCCACTCCCTACTCTTATGCTTGCATGTTGAACCAGTCATCATTGAACGAAATTTACAGTGTTCAACTCTTATAGAAGGAATGATCAAAAAGATTATCAACTTTTTTCATAACATCTTCATGAGGATCCAAAGATTGTTTTGTTCATAACACTTTAAAACTAAATATTGTGACGAAATTGATTAATACCCAAATTCCCTAGATTTGTTACATGCACCTTCAAAATGATGCATTTATATGTCTTATCTTCCTTATCCATTAGATTTGTGACCAACATATTCAACTCGGTCCGTTGGCTAACTCACTGGCCAACTGAGCATTGTGGCAACAACATGCCTACTACAAGCCAACCCCCAATGTCCATGGAAGGTATTGATGTCCAATAGTGGTAAGGGAGGCTTCCTATAAGATGACATTTTTTCTATGTGGAATAGATTTGTTAGAAACTTCCCCACTTAAATCACATCGTTAAGGTTAGGGCTCAACAATTTACAAAACCTTTTGATAGATGGTTAGCAAACTCTTAGAAAACCCAAAAAATATCAATGTATAATCCCATTTCCAGGGCCCATAACAAAGATGCTTGTCCGAGCCAGCTAACTGCATTCTTAGGTCGGCGCTGATATCATTTGTAACTCCACAAACCTCTCAAACTGGTCCATTAGCTAACCTGTTGGCCCACGCTTTGAGTAGAAAGGTCGGACTCGCAGTTATTAGCTCAACAAAGGGAAACTTGGCTGACATCATTCGAGAAGGCCTCGGACATGATCCATTGGCCAAAGAGCTACTTTGACTCGTCAAGAAGGACAAGACGAGACAATTTTGGGTAGAGAAAACACTAAGGCAATAAAGGCCTTCCATAAGGCCATCGCAAAAGTTCATCGCACGTATTGATACCCAATAGTAATAGCCAGTAGGGAGTTAATAGAGGCTTCTTACAAGCTAACACACAATATCATGTAGGATGGAAATGTTACAACACTGCTAGTTACTAAGATACGTAATAAGGGCAAAAAATCAAACTAAGTTGCCCTTATTTAAATCGATCATTAAAACAGTTCTAATTGTTGCAGAGTTTAATTATCCCAAAGTAAATCTTGAATGTAGATAATGAGTCCAATACTTCTAATTACTAGTATACATTATTCGGGCTAACAACCGAAGTGAGTCGCCCCATGTTAAATTCCAAATCGATTTGTTATTCTAAAACCGTACTTGGAGAGAGGAGTTCATCTTGAGTTGCGCTCTACTAAAACATAAATAATAAAATATCCATAGAAAAGAATAAGTTTCTTTAAGTTCGATTCATGTTTAGGAATAGAAATATATACTATTTTATAGTATAAGAAGGGGAAGCTCTTACCATCATAATTTGAATTAGGAGTGCAATGAAGCACACTCAACGTGTCTTCAAACAGAAAACTCGGTTATGGACTCTGTAGGACCTCGTGCGCAACCAGTTATCCTTAAACCAATTAGTGTCAGAAAAGGTGCAAATCCTAGCCCTAATAGTGTATTCAACACACACAAGCACCCACAACATTTGATTGTGAGTTGTCCATACAATTGCTGCCAAACCCAGGCTAACAAACTCGATTGTGTAGCCTACTTTATCCTGAGCAGTGAGTTAGCTGAATAGACAAGTGTTCTAGGATCAGGAAAAAAATCAAAATTGGGGGAGGCCTAAGTAATTTGAATAACTTGGAGATGAACTCAGGTAAGGCCCGTTATTAATTCAGTTTGCATGTGTATTTTTATCCGATGGTGTGTGAGAAAGGCATATTCCACATACTAAGGCCTCGTTTGTAAATAGTGATACGACTTGATATACAATGTAATCAAGATGGATCAATTTTTTTGCGCGTTTACGTTCGAACCTGTGATTAAAAAACGAGCCCGTAATTTAATCAAGCATATACATGATATTGAGTCCAACCTCAAACCCTGTTATAATATTATGACAAATCCCGATCCCATCAATATTCTCAAACGAGGTGTATAGAGTTAAACATACAACGGATAAAACCGCAAATGAATATAAAAAGTGACACAGTATAGCCTGAATAAAGAATAGGGCTTGAGTAGCTTACTCGCAATACAGAAGCTCCCGTTAGCAGCTTTTATTTACTTCTGTCGAGGGGGGTTATTTTACATAAATGAAAAGTTTCGGCATAATATCAATAATATATTGTTATTATTATTGACTTCTACTCGGTCATTCGGTCGTCTGCAACATTGTTGAGATCAACGATCATCTTCTTTTTGCTCGCATTTCGATTGCTTCCAGTTATCTGTAAGTGCAACGTTGAGCAGAAGATAATAAATAATCGTTTCGATAGCTTTACTATTTAAATGTATTGAGTTTTAGCTTCAATTATACCTCCTCCAGGCTCCGTTTTTCTTCCGCCAGGTTCTTTTTCTGTTCACATAAGACGTACGACTATTATGAGATGATGTGGAGAATATAAATACATATACATGCATATCACTTAATAACTTATTTCATGAATCAAATGTGAAATTAAAGATTATCATTTATATATTGGACATGAATTAATTAAATTTTATCTCCGCTTTGTGCAGATTGGGGAAAAAGACAGTGCACCGGAATCAAGCATGCATGCAGGCTCATTAAAACCCTTTATTACAGAGCACTGTCTCAACAATTCAGCGTATAAATTTCCACAAGCCAAAAGTAGGTTTAATGTTTATTAAGTTCGTATGTTCTTTCTTTTTCTTGATTTAATTACTCAAATCGGAAAATCTACATTTAAAGCAACTCTAATGGAGGAACTAAATGAAGTATCAAACTAAAAAACTACCGCTTTGATACTCCAAAATTAAAAAAATCCTCCTCTAACGGAGGCATTAAATTGAGAATTATTTTGATATTCAACCACCCCGAGGTGTAAAAATACTCCCTGGAAAATGAGGTATCAAAAATATAACCACTCCATTAACCTATCACTATTTGACATATGGCATTTAATAATATAATTATTCATATATTTAAAATTTGATAACCTATTTGGTACTTGTGGTCGAAGTGAATATTTTTTCTAGAAGTATCAAAGTATTATATCAAGTATCAAATGAATGTTTAATGCTCCATTTTGATATCTCCCCATTGGAGTTGCTCTTAGTTACCTAAATGAATAATCGAAAAATATTCCCTCCAGCGGTAAAAATTATGATACGGTGTTTCTGGAAACGCATGCAAAGGCACTCTAGGCAATTCTGAGTTATAGATAGCTAGCTGAAGTTGTATGTACAGATAGGTCAACTATAAACCTAACGGTAAAAAACAATTGATTGGATACTTCATTTATAAGATCATAGAACTGCATGCATACCTCTTCACGAAGGCTTGATACAGTATTGAGCATCCTCTGTGTCTGCACCAAAGTAGAAAACGTAAATTTAAGTTCGTTACTTCATAAAAGGGACGTGTTAAATGTCGTTTCAAATTTACGCGTACTGTTTCGACTTTAAACGTGATTTTGACCACTTTCGAGTCTTAATCTCGGAAAAAACTCAAAACTCGGAATTTGTAGTTCTTTGAGTTAGATTTCTAATCCAACTTTAATCACCAAGATTGGACGTCGGGTGATAAAAGATATGCATGAATCAATGAACATTGCCCACAATTTCGATGTTTTTGAGTTATCTAAAATTCCACATGTAACCCGTCATCCGGTTTAGCTGATTAAAATTATATTACAAAGCTAACTCAAAGAACTACAGCTTCCGTGTTTCGAATTTCGCCAAAATCAAACTAGAAAAAGGGTCAAAATCGCGTTACGAAGAAAGCAAAACAGAGCATTAAGAAGTTCAGCAGGGTAACATAAAAAAATCTGTCCCATGCAAATTTGTCCGTCGCAATTCTTGATCCTCACCTTTTATTTAATATATATATATATATATATATATATATATATATATATATATATATATATATATATATATATATATATATATATATGTTTGCAGGATAATGCAATATGAATTTTCAATATTTACGTGGCACAACTGTTCAAATGCATCACAGTTTCCGGGGTAAGTAACTCTCTGTCGACTCATTAGGCTTAAAATAGTTATACTATTACGTAGCTGTGTGAGATTTAACATGTTGATGCACATACATTCCGTACGGAAAAAGAAAGATCTCAAATGGATAAGGTTAGATGGGCAAATGATACCTTAGCCGATCTTGTCTGAATTAGTGCAACCCCGATTTGTTTCTCGAGAAGTACAAGATCCGTCACACTTAGCTCGTCAAGTTCACTATGTAAACAGATTTTGAGTGAATGAGTAAAACTGAGATCACTAATAACAAAGACAAATAAAGTTTAAATAAAAAGACCGTAAAAGTGGTTGGTTACCTTTCAACCTTTTGGAGTATTTCTTCACTCGTAATAAAACCCGAATCGTCAGATGACTGGCCCTGCCATGCAGAAAGGCAGTTTTTGCTTGATCATCAAGTATATATATAAACATATATACATACATATATAACGGAAAATATTATCCCGGAATTTTTAAAGAGCTCGTGTTCGAAATCCTCATCAGCAAATACTTCTGCTAAACACTATTTATTACTTTCTTCAACAAGTCAAACAGATAAGTGTGAACAATATCCCATTTCCAAAATCTACCGAATAGAAATTATAATGTTAATTCCACATGAAAACTGGGATAACCTTTTCCTCACGAGATCCTGTCGAGCTTTCAGCTTGATATCGTTGCAGGATGCTGGAAAACGACAAACAATGAGTGAGATATGATATATGAATGCTCGTGTAAGTAATAAAATAAAATAAATAAACCACGAGGGACAAGAAAATGTATGGAAATAGGAATTGAGCATATTGTTACTATATGATGAAGGCACACTATCTACAAATGCAATTAAGATACTATTTAAGCCCAGATTTTCTGCGAGGACATATTATAACTGTTATATTTTGTTGATTTTTGAATATGCACATGAAATACGTAATATTACTGCCTGAGACAGTAATTTTATTGTATTAATTAATTTTATCGTCTTGGCCTGCAATTTTACTGTTTTCGACCCTATTATTATTGTCTCATGCAATAATATTATAAATATATATATATATATATATATATATATATATATATATATATATATATAACTAGATTCTTGATTTTTAGTTAATACTACATTTGAATGTCGTGCATTCCAAGTATAAAAGACGTTAAATAATAGGCATGAAATACAGAACATACGAATTGGTGATCGGGGAGATGAAGTATAAGCGCTACTGTCCTAATATTCTTAATGTGAGATTCTATTGTAAAAACGAGGAAGAGACATATTTAAGATGCCTCACAAACAACAGGTACAACTGAATACGACATAAAACAACTGCATAAGGATAGGCGAAGAAACGGAATCTACAAAGTTTTAAGAAGAATTCAAATAGCGTTACTAGTAACCATCATCTCTTACGTATTTAATGCTAATCTGTAAGCTCCACTAGGATAGTTTGTAGATCATATGATAGCTTATGACCAAGAAAGACAATAACCTGAGTAACTCAATCTACTAATAGAAAATATATAATTTTCACTAGTTATTATTTCATTTTAATTCTTTTATGCTAGAGAAAATTAAAATAAAGTCATCCCACCACCAAATTTTGAATTTTTTAACAAACTTTACTCATCGAGACTACTTCTCTTTAGCACGAATTGATGCCCGTATTCGCATGGTCTGCAACTAGAGCATCAAAATAACAATGAGACCATTAGATGCACAGTCATTGGAGTTGCTCCTCCTATCCTAAATGATAAACCGGAGCATTAGAGTCCATGTTCAATGTTCATGTGAAGACTCGTAATATTTGGTTCACATTCGATCTCATGAAGATTGTTAAGACCGACACATAAATCCTTCAAAGTAAGTGATCTTCTTTTCAAGACAGATTATGAAAAGAAACAAGATACATTCAAATTTCATTTCTAGGACAACGATTTCCATATTATTGCATGTCAAACATAGAGATCATGTAACCGAAACTTTACAAAATGACCTTCACAACTCTAATGTTTTAATACTTATACTACTATAGCTAGGGGTGTCATGTGTTCGAGCTCAAATCAAAATCGGCACATTTGCTGAACTCCAGCTCGACTTGAGCTTGAGCTCAGTATGCTAGGACCAGAGTTCGAGTTTAAGCTCATCTTTTTTTTTTATTAATATATATTATTAGTATTACAAAATTAAAAAAAAATTAAAAAGAGCTAAAAAATAGCATATCAATCAACAAAATATTTCGCTACGTTATGGTTATACAAAAAACACATTACGGTTGTCTTCAACTTTGTATCATAAACGACAATTCAACCAATCAACGGACGTAACAATTTTTTTAAGGAGAATTAGAGAGAACCTCCTTGGACCTATTTTTGTTAGCTATACGGACTAGTATTTTTTTTCCATTTGATTTTAGCCCCCTTAACTTTAATGAAACCAAAATACCAACATTGAATGAAGTCCCACTACTACAAAAATGGTCAACTCGTTCGAAGAATACTCAACTAATTTGGTTACCCCTAAGTCTACTCATCCAAGATTTCTTGACTTATGCTAAATCAACTAAATTGCCAATTTTACAAAGTCGACTAAAACTTAGTCAAGCAATAAGGTGGTGTTTGCAAAAGCTTATTTAAAAATAGAAGTTATGGATTGTGACTTAAACTGGTTTTAAGTGCTTTTTCTAAAAGTTGGGGGTGTTTGCAAATTTACTGAAAAATAAACTTAAATAGAAAAAACAGGGTCATGGGTGCTTAACAAATTATTAATTAAAGTTGTTTATTTTAAGAGAAGCAAAACAAAAATTGATTTTGCAAACACTTAAAAATAGATTATGACAGAAAAGAAGCTCATAATCTATTGTAAAAGCTTTTGCAAACACCACCTAAATCGACTGAGCAATATTGTATGTTTTCTACATTTTCTTTGTATCATGAATTTAACGCAATAATAGAGCACAAATTGTTGCGATTTGTTTGAACTTTGACCAAGAATGACAAATCTATTAATTTAAGTAACATTCCAATATTAGTCGAACTATTCTTGGGCTTCAAAAGAAGTATATATATATATATATATATATATATATATATATATATATATATATATATATATATATATATATATATATATAGATATATTAAATTCTACTTTTATCTAACCTTCTTTGTAGAGGAGAAATAGCCCAAAATATGTGGCCTTGTGCGGCGATTTTTGAGTGCCATCTTGGACCGAGACTTGATGCTCGGAGCGAAGTAATATTTTTTTCTTTTAAGTAAATTAAAATCACGTTACGAATAAGTAATAGTAGATGTTATGTACCAACTCTTCTGCAGATGGTTAATCTCCAAAACATTGAAAAAAAAAAAAAAAAAAAGAAAAAAAAGCTTAATAATCACTTTTATAACTTGTTTCCGTTCGCAGAGGCTAGGCATGAGCAAAACAATTAAAAAACTTACAAAATAACCAAAGATTGAAAAATCAATCCATTCCGAAAAGCAAACCGTTGGTAATTTTTTTTTTTAAATACGATTCTTGTGTCCATGTATGATAAAAAAGATGAATAACTAAACCAAAAAACCGAGTATAAAATAACTTTCTTTTATGATGTATCACTACAAGAAAAAGTTGCATTAAAGACACCCCAGTTGTGACAAATGCAAAAGTTGTCACTTAATGCATACATTATGCATTAAGTGACAACATTTTTAATATTGTCACTAATAGCTCCTTTTGTTGTCACTTAATCCTTATTTATTGTCACTATACACCATTAGCAACAGCCCATTAGTGACAAGACAACACTTCTTGCCTAACTGTGAAAAAATCAGTGTTGTCACTCAAAAGATTTTCTTTTGTAGTGTACATACATACGTGTGTGTGTGTGTGTCTATATATATATATATATATATATATATATATATATTTCAATTACTAGTCTCACTCTACTAACCAACGGTTTGTGCAAAAATCAAGTCATTAGTATTTGAATCATGCAGTAACTTAGTAACTTATCTTTTACTTGAGTGCACAATTTTAATCATGTGGTTGACGAAAGTAAAAAATGGAGTGTGATATCACTAAAATTATGTAGAAGTACTATGTTACTAAAGTTTTTATAATATTTTTTATTGCATTTAGTGAAACAAATTATGATTTGATTCTTCATGTACTAACCTATAGTTACTAATGAATGGGGAAAAAAACGAATACGAACCGAAAAAACACGAAAACTGAATGAAACCGCGCTGATGGAACACCGCGACATGTATGGTTTTTAATCTTACAAAAAATGATACATTTAATTCATATTCGATTTTAGCCAAAACTCGAGCCGAACCGGCCATTCATACCCCTAGTTGTGGCAAACTATCTTGATTAACTTCATTTTTTTTCTTTTGTGCAGGGTTGTTAGCGATGTAAAGAAGATGGTACATTGCTTGGCTTTCCATGAAAAGAATGATTCCCTAGCATGTATCTGTTCGGCCCAAGAAAAGACATTTGGATCCAAGAGAGCGATGCTATTGGTTATATCCAATGGTTTGATAAAATCAAATCATCACTAGTACGTATTGGGAGAGATTCGTTGATAACCCTAACTTGTTCCTCACGGTTAAAACGATGACAACTCCTTCACCCGCAGAGACTCGTATGAATGTGATGGTAATATATGCAAGACAAAGAACAAGACTTTGTCCTTCATAAGAATGTAGATAGTATTCACTCAATGGATCAACATTGATGAACCAAGGTCCGCACATGAACGCCGCACAATTTATATCGGTCATACTATAGAAGTGCCTTTTACGAAAACCTTGTTTCTCTCTACATATGAATATGCATGAATGATAAATATTATTTGGCGAGATTATGAATGGTAAGGATCGTCTGGGGGTTTGGATTTCGAAGATCTCGCCAAAGAGATAATGAGATAAAGAGAATGGGACGCACGTCGAGAATAAGGGCAAATTAGGAATAACCTAATATGGAAGGATTCATACATATAAACTCACCAACCTTAATTGAAACAAACATTGCAATTATGTAATTCCTTTCCTATAGGCTATCATTATGTTTCATTGGAGAAACGTTTTTGGGCTATTGTGTTTTTAGAGAGAGAAAATAATTTAATTATGTGTATGATTTAGTAATTTCCGTGTGGGATTTTCAGATATTTTATTCAAATTCGGTTCCGAATTGGGGAAAATGGAAAAGTAGGGGAGTGGGCAGGATCCGAACTCCAACCTCTACTCTATTCTAAGTAGATGCTAGGTACCAACTCTCCTTAACGAGGATTGGTCCCATCTTCAATATATCACCTACATATATTATCGTGTATGACCGTCACCACGATGAGTCCATTAATTCAATATTACTAAATTACTAGTATTTGTTCATTTTTTTTTAAATAGTCATCATTTTAATACTAAAAAATAAAACAACATCCGCATCTCCAAAATTCTATTTTTGGGTCTTTCATAGGAAAGAAGAAAAAAAAGTTGGAATTTGAAACCTAGGGTTTCGAAACGTCCCCAAAAAAAAAAAAAAAAGAACCTTCAAAGTTCAAACGCACTCCAGATTGAACACATCAATAACAACATTTCAACTATATCAAATCCAACTGTGTGAATAAAAAAAATTATCAATACCACCTTTTCAAATAAGATCATCAACATATAATAAATAACATGAAAAAAAAGAAGAAATTGAATTTATCACCTGTCAGTGCTACAGTATTGAAAAAGCTTGCCCCTGTTGGAGAAGATAATGGCGGCGAGATCGACATCGCAGAGAACAGATAATTCCTTAGCTTTCTTAATCAAACCGTTTCTTCTCTTCGAAAAACAAACCATTCTCGCACCATTCTCCTCGATTCGCTTTATCTCCAATTTCTTTCTCCCCATTTTTCGGAATCTGTTTGCCCAATTTCTGTTGCAGAAAAAAAAAAAAAAAAAAAAAAAAAGCCGTACGTGAGAGAGAGAAAAACAACCCTATCTATATATCCTCGCAGGCTTACAGTATATGCGTACTGGTGTGTGTTTGTGTGTGTGTGTGTGTGTGTACGCATATATATGTAATTATGTATGAGAATCGAAGAATTTTTTTTTTTTTTTTTTTGGGGGTGAAAGCAATTTTCGCACTTGACTTACCGCTGTGGCGATTTTAAGATGTTTTTTAATCATCCTAATAATCACCATTAGAGCTCGTCTACACTGTTTGTGTGTAAGATCTGCATAAATCGCATATATGTATATTATAATATAAAATATCTGAAATGCTAAACATTTATTTTTCTTTCTTTTTTATTTATTTATATTAGTAGAGAAAACAGCATTGGAAGAGCGTGCACGTGGCGTACGGAAAAAAATACAGCCATCGGAGGAGCTCACACGTGGAGTTTTATTTTAAAATAGGGTAAATTACAAACACCCCCTGAGGTATGGTCAAATTACAAAAACACCCCTCTTGTTTGGATAATTACAACCACCCCCTCAGCTCTTCAAATTTAGTGGAATCTTCGAGATTATATGAAATATTATCACTTTTGTACCCGTTTTATACCATTCAAACTCTACATTATGAAGTAAGATGATCATAATATGTGATTTTTAGCTTGTGTATATCAGTTTGTAGTGCATCGGAAACTGTATTTTTACACAAAACGAATACAAACTAGAGCACATTACACGGAATCTAGATGATTATATTGAATTTGGCACAATAAGGGTGGAGGTGTAAGAAAAAATCATAGTTGAGGGGGGTATATGTAATTATCCAAACAAGAGGGGTTTTTTTGTAATTTGACCATACCTCAGGGGGGTTTTTGTAATTTACCCTTTAAAATATCTTGTGAGGGCAGCGGCGTGGGAGACGAGGTCGGTTTATATTTCGTAGGTAGCGAAACTGCTTTATGCGATTATTGGCTCTAGCTTCGGTGGTGCATTTTTTACCAATTATGGAAAATAATTGTTTTCACATAGTACACGTTTCAAATTAAGATTAATGGGCCAAATTTAAAATGTGCACATTACAGATAAGTCCTTCAAAGAATACTTATTTATAAAGGGGTCTTGACAAAAAAAACAAAAAAAAAAAAAAAAATTTACAAAATAATCCATATATTATTCAAATGTTTATAAAATGCTAAAATAGCCCCTCACATTTTAATATGTTCCGATTTCATCATTTGATTTAATTTAATCTCAATTCGACTTTAAATTTCAAATATTATTCAATTTTGACCCAAAACGCACTTTTGAGTACAATTTCACTGTCGCCGTCGTCAACCTTTTTTTTTCCCTTCTTCTTCCTGATTTTTCCGTCGGTCTCCGGCGTTGACTTTTTCGGTTTTATTTTTTAATTTTTTTTCTTTAACATCTTTTTGCCCCGTTTAAACAACAATGTTGTTGTGGTTGACAATAATATTAACTTTGTTTGATAAGGAACGCCAAATTGGATTCGAATTGGAAAATAACTATTTAATTCGTAGAAGAGTTATTTATGGGCATCGGTGGAGATACCGAAAGAAATTACGGAAAAATAAGGGTTTTCAACGAACTCAAATTGTATTTGAGTACGAAACGAACTCTATCTCAAGTAAAACGGCGCAAGGAACAAAACTCATGAGCAAAGCTCATGAATCACGTCAAATTTCAGCAATCCAACGTCGTTTGGACTCCTAAAAGTTCGTTTTTGCTATTTTAGGTAAGTTTTAGAAAATTAATATCAAATCATAGAAAAATCGGATTAGGATTCCGTAAATTGGGTTGTTCCCAAAATTACGAGATCTACTAGAATCAAACTCTAACTCGTTTTTGCCGTTTTTGGTAATTTTTAGTATTTTCTTTGTTTAATTAGGGTTTTCAGTTTTTTAGTATAAATAGCTGCCTTAGGTCTTTATTTTAAGAAGATTTTTCGAATTTTAATAAAATATTTAGAGTTTTCTCTATTTTTCTGGTGGATTCCAGAGTTTTCGGTGGATTCCGAATGTTATTTTGTTCTATAGGATTAATTCGTAGAAATTAATTCTTTACCGTGCTTCCGTTCTGCGTCAGTTGGCATCAGTAGCGAGGTTTTTCCTGGTTAGATGGCGAAAGGTGCGAGATATGGAGACAACAACTACGTTGGCGATGACCGCGGGGTTGAGAAACTGCAAAATCTGCGGTTGGTGCGCGAGGGATTTGCCCTTGACAACAACAACAGAAGAACTGGATCTAGCATGGGTATTGCCGACGGTGTAGCCCGAGGTGCATATGTTAGACACAATTATCATGGATCTGTTCAACTTCAATCAAGGTATGACGATTATTCAAAGGTGAGCGGCAACTCTGATTTTGAAGAAAATCCGCCTATAAAGAGGCAAAAGGATCGTGATAAATATCGGGTAAGAGCTGAAATTCCTTCTTTTAGTGGAAATTTTCTTGAAGTTGAGGATTTTATCGATTGGGTGTCAGAAGTTGAAAATTATTTTGAATTGATGGGTATTTTGCCGAATAAGATGGTAAAATTGGTTAGGTGTGAGTTAAAGGGTTGTGCAGCCGCATGGTGGGATGAAATACAGAGGAAGAGAGCTAGACAAGAAAAATTTCCAATCCAATCATGGAGGAGGATGAGAAAAATATTGATGGATCGTTTTTTACCCCTAGGTTATGAGCAACGTCTATTTCAACTATATAGTAATTGTTCGCAAGGGAGTAGATCTGTTAACAAGTATACTGCTGAGTTTATGAGACTAGCAGACTTAAATAACCTGCAAGAATCCGAAAGTATGGAAATTTCAAGGTACTTGCAAGGATTGAATATTTCAATCCGTCTTAGGATGGGGTGGCGCGCATTCGACTCCTTTGAAGAGGCTGAAGAGTTAGCATGGAGCGAGGAATATTATCAGAAGCGAAATAGTTCTTCGAGAAAAATCAAAGATGTTCCACCCGTTGCCAAAGTTAAGGAGGTACAAGATACTTCGTTCGTTATTCAAGCATCCGGTTTGGTGGAGGATCATGGCGTACGAGTTAACAAAGTTGAAGAAGAAATTGTTGATGCAAAAGTTAAAATTAGCGTAGCTATGATCAACGATGACATTAACAAAATCAAGGTGAAAGTCAATGAAGTTGAAAGGGGAGTCAACGAGGTTGAAGAGAGCATCAACAAAGTCGAAGATAGCGTCAACGGGGTAGAAGAGAATGTTAGCAAGGTTGAAGAGGGAGTCGATGAGTTTCGAGAGGATGTTAAAAATAAATTTGAGGAAGAATTTGAAGTTGTAAAATTTGTTCAAGAAGAGGAAGGTGCACGTGAAGAGAAGGAACAAGTGGATTGCGTCGAGGTATGTGATCTAATTGTAGATAGTGTTTGCTGTGAAGTTCCTGTAATGGAGAAATTGGTGGAGCCATTGAGATCTTCGATTAAGAAGCCAATTTTTCCAACGCCTCGTTTGGATGAAGATTTTGTAAGCGAGATTTTTGTGCCGGGAATATTGGTGGAGCACTTGAAGTTGTTTCGAAAGAAATATGTATCGCTATATTTTGATCATAGCTCGAGGTCGAGCTCTTTTGAAGAAGAGGAGATTGATAAGGAACGCCAAATTGGATTCGAATTGGAAAATAACTATTTAATTCGTAGAAGAGTTATTTATGGGCATCGGTGGAGATACCGAAAGAAATTACGGAAAAATAAGGGTTTTCAACGAACTCAAATTGTATTTGAGTACGAAACGAACTCTATCTCAAGTAAAACGGCGCAAGGAACAAAACTCATGAGCAAAGCTCATGAATCACGTCAAATTTCAGCAATCCAACGTCGTTTGGACTCCTAAAAGTTTCTGCGTCAATGTTACTGTTAAATACAGTAATATTAACTATTAATATGTGGTTGACAAAAGTCATTATTATTGTGTAAACAGAGTAAAATTAATATGTTGACCGTTCAACAAAGGTAAACATAATAAAAAGTCAAAAAAGATAATATTGATGTTGTTGGCAGTAATATTACTGTCATCCACAGTAATATTACTTAACAACAGTAATATTACCGTCAACATAGTAATATTATTGTGTTTACAGTAATATTACAATATTAGACATTAATATTATTACGTTAATCCGTCAACAACTCAAACAAAACAAAAAAACCCAAAAAAAAACTAATATTGATGTGGTTGACGGTTAAATTATTGTGTTTACATTTGTGTTACCGTCAACGACAATTGATGCGGCTGGGTTGACCGCTTCAGGAAATTCGAATCTTCAAGTCTGTTCCATATTAGGCATGTTCGTCGCGGACCTGCAAAAGAGACCGGGAGAGGTGCTCCCGGCGTTAGCACTCCGACGCCCAAGTTTAAACACCTCAAAGATTCGAAGAAATATATTCATGACAGAAATGGTGTGTTAAGATCAAGATTGCTTACCTTTAAGGGTTTTAAACCCTTTATTTATAGAAGAGGTTTTTCAGATGCCATTGTTTTTATCCGATTCAGTTAATAGAGTTGTTTCAAGTCCATGACACTTTATAAGTCTAAATAGTTAAGTTATGATGATATTTTATATTCTTAGTGTCTAAGTCTTGAGGTGGCATCTTCAGCTCGTCACTTTTGTCCTCGCCAGCTCGTCGCTTGGGACTCGGTGCTCATCGCTCGGTGGCTCGTCGGCTCGTCTTCGTCACTCGTCAGCTCGGCGCTCGTTGCTCGGCATTCGTTATTTTGAGGTGTCCAACTCGTCGGGGGTCTCCTAATTCGTCTCTACCGACTAGGGATGGCAGCGGAGCGGGTACCCTCGAAAAAGTGCAATACCAGAACCATTACCATTTAATATAGCTCAAACCATGACCGTACCAAACCCTTTTAAAAAGTTGATGAAAATACCACAACCATTACCACGAATATCCGGGTATCCACGGGTACCCATTTACCATTTAAATTACGGTAATAAAAAATAACTTTAGATCCGATAACGTTTAAGTAACTCTCAGAAAAGAGGAAGAAAAAAGGAAAAGAAAAAAAAGTAAATTATACAAATATACCCTCCCTAAATTATTTAATACTATATTTAAAATTTTGCCATTTC